AACAGTTTCAACAAACTCTTTCATTAATGACCATAAAAAATTTACTTTTTTCAAACGTAAGAATTAATTTAAAATTAATGAGATATGTTTTCTATTTAACCTTTTCATGTTATTATCCTACATCTTATTACGATTAATTAAATTGTAATAACTATACTTGGTAAACCGAATATTCATTTCATTAAATTATGATTATATAAATAATGTATATATGTTAGGTAAGCACGCTGTAATTAAAGTAAAACCTTAATCATCTAAATTAAACTGCTTTTTTCACTTGCTTTGAGTTTCTTTATAACTAAATATTTGGAAAAGTTATTCTAAATTGCTTTTATTATTTAGATTTATATTGTATTCAATTCAATGTTTTGACTTAATTGTATAAAATACCTATTTTCATTGAATATAATAAGTCTATATATTGAAAACTTATCTTAGAAATTGCAAGAAAGTATGAAAGTCATATTTTGCTCTTATGACAACGATATAGTTATAAGGTTAACGACAATGTTGATTCTCATTTTAACGACTTTAATATAGTGAATCAAATGGTATAAAACTTGATACAAAGTGCTTGATATTCTTAGCATGTCAGAAGCAAGACTCTGACTTCTTCGACTTCTTCTCTCTACTCCTTCTTCTTCGAAAGAAATCGGATGTAACGTAGAGTTTAATGACGTCTCGACTGTTATCTCTTTGTTCCCTTATAATTCAAAATTCAGTTCAAACATCTTTTTACCTCTCCTTTAATTTATAACAAAGAACATTTTTTATTTGTTTCGAAAGTATTTTAAAAAATACTCCAAGATTTGAAATCTATTGTTTTAATATTAATTATCAAAAATCCATTTTGTTTAATTATAAAATCTAACTTTATAGGCTAACAATAAAGTTTAAGTTAAATATCTAATATGCTTTATTCATTTTTATTTGAAACTTTATGTTTTTCTTTAAATTATAAATTTACTCAATGGTATTCTAAATAATGTTATCAATAATATTAAATGAATAATTAACATATTTTTATTGTGTAGAAATATTATTATATTAAACTACTTTTATTTTAAATTTTTGTAAAAAAATATTATATATTTTATTGTAAATATAATTTTATGACTTTTATTGTGCTTAGTATTAATTCAAATGAGTATTAAAATTATAACGTATATTATCTATATTACTATATTAGATAAATGGTATTCTTAAAAAATAATAGATTTATCCACAAATACTAAATGATTTGTTAGTAAAATTTCATTTACTTAATAGAATTATTATTTTTTATACTTTTTGCATCTAAATATCTAATAATAGTATAAATGTTCTGCTAGTATTTAACGTACTATTGAATACATTATGCTATCAAAAATATATATGAAGAACATATTATTTTGATTAGTACTGTGATAATTAACCCTAAGTAAAAGAAACAGAAAAAAACAAATAGAATTGAACTAATTGCCAAAAAACTGACAATTCAATCATCAACAATTCTTTCGATCAACAATGACAATTTATCAATTTCAATAATAAAATTTGCCAAAAAATAGAGGCACAAGCAAAGTAATTCGATTACCAAACGTGCGGCTCCAAAATTCCATTGACCATGGTGAAATTGAAAGAGCAACTCACACAAAAATCCGTTAAAATTTCGCGAAGGGCTGAGCATCCTAGTTCCGGAATTACACCGGCTCCCAAGTGACCGAATTTGCCGCATACGGTATAACATTGTTACTCGCATGTGCTCAAATACAATATATATATATATATATATATATATATATATGCATACGTTTTTAAAATCTCCGCAGCGGACATCCGCAAATTCCGGCGTTTCAATGTTATCTATATGCACGGATTGTATCAATGCAGTATCTACCAATCCATGGTGCAAATTGAAAAGGAGTCTAACGGCACTGGTACCTTCTTATTTGCGTTTCCTCGTTCTCTCTTGCGTAACGCACATCTATATATCATAACGATAGTCGTGGTCGTCAGAGAACAAGCAATAGTTTGTCAAACCTTCTTCCTTTCTCCCATGTCGTCGTTGTAGTATCGGTATTACCACAATTCAGAATCTTAAATACTCCGTCACCCCATCCGCGTTTCCATCTCACTATTACCCATCTAATCCCACTAATCCCATCAATCCCATTAACTTCACTTCTCTATATCAAGTTCATTTTCTCGTACTTTTACTTGTGTAAGAATTAGAGCCACCATATATGTATAAAATGACTGTAATAGCTATGTCCAGGAATCTGATAATTAGTGAGACGATTTGAGATCAAATCGAGATAGCACAATGAAAAGCGAAATAGGGAGAAAAAGAAGCATATGTGCTTAATTTATTCGAAGAGTATTTTCTTACAAATTATCGATTATAATTTTTTTTTATATTTACGTCCCTTTTGAAAGTGAGTATTTATTAGTGAAGGAAAACTTAGCGTGATATGATATTGAATATTAAATATCGTTATTTGTGAATTGTCTAAGAATAACCAAGTTGCTTGAGACTTGTTATATGAAAGTATGCATATATGGGATGTCCGTTTTAAAATTATTTTATTTTTATGCAGAAGCTCAACTGCTTTGGTCGACTTCCTAGAGACTGAATTATCTTTTATCTTTTATTTAGTCTTCTTTTTAGTTAGAGCTGTTTAAAACGAGCCAGATTACCGGGATCTCAGTTCAATATTATTAGAATATTTGGCTTAGTCCTTTAAATGAAAACTAATATACAATATTCCAAAGTTTTCTTAATTTTATATTTTTATAAATCATATAGTATATTTATAGGCAATAATTAGTATAAGGGTCGAATATTGAAAAAATGTACTGTAATATCATAATTCTGGCATATCTTGAAATATTCTTATTTTTTTAATATGAAATTTTATTTATTATGTGATACTCACATGACATGTTTTACTTGTAAAGATAATTAAATTAAAAAGCAATACATTCAACCGCAGACAAATTATAGAATTAGGCATAAAAAGTGTGAGTTAGAATACGTGTTAACAAAGTGATATTGCGACGGGTGGTGGTACAGAAGAAGGATGCGGTGGCAGTGACATCGGTCGAAGTAAGTAAATTGGAATTAATGTCCCGAGGCCACTTTTCTCGTAAGTCCAGTGGGGGAAACTAGGTCAAAATATAGTGGCAGCTCCCTGGCGACGGAAAACAAATGCGCTCAGCGCCGTCGGACCTCCACCGCCAGTTGCACTTGGATCGTCCGCCCGTGTAAACATCTCTTAGGTCTCCGATCCCCCAGTCACCAATGAAAATTCCGTACCTTACATGTAGCGTAGTTATCCTCATATCCATAAGGATAACATATTCCAGCCGAGCAGTTGGAATCTCGGAATACTACAGTGCGCGGACGTATCAACATACTAAAAATTTATATAGAATGTGTGCCCATTTCTTGTAACAAATTTATACGGAATGGACAAAGTTTCTTTTAAAAAAAATGATGGAACTTATGGATCTTGGAATTCTTCTTTATGATAATAACCATTGCTCTCTCTATACGCTTTCCCCTTTAATGAATAAACCGTTTTACGTTAAGGCTGTGAAGAGATAACAAATTCATAACGTCTGCAACTTTTGTAGAAACTCAAGCTGCGATGGTCCCTCGTCCTGTTACGATCGTATAAATCATGTTTAATAATTTTCATTCAATTTTACATTATCACTATCTTTGTTTGTTTCATATTTTTCCGATTTGAATGTTATATCACTCTATTTCTCAATTCGCGTCTCTTCTCAGAAAAACTGTCTGTTTAATCGGACCACTTTTACATGAAAAGACCCCAAATATTGTTTGATACTTTTCTATAATCAGTCGTAAAATAATCTATATATTTGTATTATTTTTATTGAGAAGTTACTTAATATCTATCCTTCGATATGTTAGTAGAACAATTAGATTACAAGTAGATAAATATTTGTATAAATCGTGTATCTTTCTTTTAAAGAAGATCTTGAAAAACAAATACAAAATAATAATAAATTGATGATTAATGCAGTCTCTTAAATATATTAGATTATTTGTGTAAGCATATTCAAATTTAATAACGGAAATTGAAAATTTGTAAAATAGTCAAGTTTGTTTTATTTTTTAATCAATTTCATACGAATTAATTGTTAATTTGATAAATTATCCTGATCATATTAATATTTATCTAATTAATTACCTATTAAGGTTATCTGTATTAATCGATTTCTCGACAGCTTTTCATGTTGCTTACTCGTAAAGCATTCCTACAAATTACCAGGTATATAAATTATGATAGTTTATAAAAACTAATTAATTAAATATAATTCTGTTACAATTTTATTGAAAGGTTATGATTATAAATTATTACCCCGTAAAAATGATATACCGATGTAACGACAGAAGCTTCGCGGTGGCAATGAATAATTCACTTATCGTCAAAGATGTTACAAAAATCTAAAATAATGTAGTTAGCTATACCAATAATAGTATTAAAATATTCCCATTATAACCATTGTATAATTAAAAACTACTACATTAATAAATATGCTTTAAAATTGCATCAAAGTAAAAAGTAGTAGCTACATAAATCCATTGAATTTACCAATTACTTAATTAATGCAATTGATAATATGGTATATACAATAGCTTGAAAGCAAAATAAAAGTACCGCAGTGCAATCCAATAAAATTCAGACAAAACCGTCATGAAGTATATCTACTGAAAATAGTTGGTTCTATGGTTGCAAATAATGAAGAATTTACTTTCTAAGCATTCAGCATTAAATTCAGCTAACATACTGGCCATTATTGACTAGTTTAGCAGCTCAATGACAAAAAGAGAACACAAGATTTCAGTGCCTAGTTTCGATAAATGCATTTCATTGGAATTTCAATAGTGCGTACCCCAATGTCTCTATATTCGCGTTGATATGCCTAAATATATACGGGCATACGTAATGTTCCCAAACTGCGAAAAGATTTATCGTAGTACTTACCTATCTCTTGATTGGTAATCCTCGCTCCAATAAGCGTCCCGAGACCAAGAGTTAGCATTGTCAGAAGCACCATACTTGAAACTGTTGAACAAAAGAGCCAATGTTGGTCTCTTAGGCCGCTTTCGTGTTCCTTCATCGTACCGACCGACCTTAAATCACCGTTACTAACTATGCGAGCTGCAAGGATGTCGCGCCACCCTGATAACGCCCCAGCACGTTACTTCACGTCACCGTCGCGTCACCCTGACGTTTCTCTATACTAATACAAAATCCCTACGTCAGAAACTTGTGACTCCTACTGTTGATGTTACTGTTTTTTGTTATTGTTGTCAGCTCCGTGCAGGTGCTCGCGCCCGTCGTTATTTCGCTCTTGTACAACCACTTACATTACGTAATCCTTACTTTTTTCACTTCAGAGTTTCTTTTCCTTTTTGCCTATTTTGTATATTTAATGTAAAATCTCAGGGGATTCAAAGGACTCTCCCTCTTAAAAAATCTTCCGACGTGTCTGCATGTACCGACTTTTCTGCGCTCTTCGATAACTTTCTCTCGACGTCTCTGTTTAGCTCACGCTTAACTAGCTACACGATAAGAGCGTTCCTTGTTCCTTGCTTCGTATCACTTGACATCCCGAAATAAGAAGTACGCACAGGAGTATCTCCTAAGAGTTGTTTTTATTTATCTTCTACTACTGTCCTCCTCTTTTATCTTTACACGCAACTCGTCTTAACGCACGCTAGTCCATTCATATAACTTTCCACCGACTTCGATTCTTATTCTTTCATTCGGACTTCTTCAATTCTCTTCCCAACTTTTTACCCCAGTGTTTAAATGATAAATCATGAATCGATCACCAACTTTATTGATTCTTCAATGCAATACTTCTTTGTGCGTACCCAAGGAAAAAGAAATTTTTATTTACAACTCGATTACACAACTCTCGTAGCCTTCTTCACTTACTTCCTTCCTTCCTTCCTTTCTTCCTTCCAATATTCCTTCCGTTTGACTTTTCCTCTTTCTTTCTTCAGTCTGATTTCTACTTTTCTTTTTAGTATTGTGAAGTACGTATTTATTTGCTTCATCGATCTATAAAATGGCTTAAAGTCATATTCAGTTACAGTTTTGTGATTTGTATAAGTAGCACCTATATTTTATACAATATTTGTAATATTGTAATTGCGTGTTATTCCCAAGTTCTTGAGGCATCAACTACCAAAAAGTAGCGCGGTACTCACGTCATGGATAATAATTCAGAGACGAATTTAATAGGTAGGTTCGACTGCACCTTTGGTTCCAGTTTTATCTTTTTCCGTTCTGAACCACCAATTCAAGTGCCTCGTTCGTTTCTTCCTTAATCCGATCTGAAACATATAATTATAAGTATTTTAATCATATGTTGCGTTTAGTTCTGCCTTCCCTCTCATATGACTATAACTTATCGCTCGTTTCCTTTTCTATACACAAATCTACAAAAATATGTACAGGTCATCTCACATAAGCATACGCACACGCGCGCGTATACTCATGCACATAGCAAAAACATGAAAGTACCATCGTACACGATTTACTACTTTTGTTGGACCTCTACTTTGTCGATTCATCCCCGTATTTTTACATTTTATTTTCTTTTTCTATCACTATCCAATAGCTCATAGACTTCTAATTTACCCTTTTATCTTCTATATGCATTTCTTTCAAACTCTTTGCGCTCAATCATTCTCTTAATTGCAACAAATATTCCAATATCATCTTTCTGTATCACTCTCTCTCTCTCTCTCTCTCTCTCTCTCTCTCTCTCTCTCTCTCTCCTTTAGCTTCATAATTTTTAACTCTATTTTATTCTCTTGCTTACTTCAATATCATTTCTTTTAACCAAGATAGAAAAGAGAAATGGTGTGTAAAAGAAAAATTTATATAGCTATTAAACTAGAGTCATTAATTTTGTATTTTTGTGAATAGCACTTTTAATTAATTCAATAATGACTATATATATATATTTATTAATAATAAATATATATATAATACAGGTACATATTGATTAATGAAGTTTTCAAGGTATATGTATATATAAATTTAGTGAAAAATTTTTTACAGTAATTAAATTATTAAGTAAACATATAGTATTAATTAACAATAAGAATATTCTGAGATAAATTCAAACATATTATTAATACTTCTACATAAATGGACTGTATGTCTGTATGCGTATGTGTATTTGTTGTAATTATAAGCCTCTATTCTTGGCAATTATATTGACAGTCACCAATTATATTGACAGTCAATCAATTATATAATTAATTTATTCAATTTTCTATTAAAAGATAATAATTTATATTTAAATATTTACTTACATTTATTATCATATATATAATAATTCGATATAACATATAATATATAAGTAATTAGTATACACCATAATGGGTAATGAATAATTAACATGTTATATAATATATAATATATGACATATTAATTTAATTTGCGAAATATACTTTTCATTTATGAATAATAATCATAAATAATTTAACTTAAAATAATAAAAAATATACAAAAATAAATTAAAAAAATGCAAAGAAATATTGAAGAATTAGAAAAGAAAATTGATCAATGATTGAATCATAATACTTTTAGTTAAAATAAAAGTTTGTTTTAATATTTTCGAATAATGAAAGTTGTGCTGTTTCCAAATGTACACTCATTTTATTCTTCGATCCTTCTCCCTCCCGTCCATTCCTTCGCCTAGTTCAGATCTTATTAAGTAACCTCTTTTATTTCAACCCCACTTTTATCCCTTTCTTTTTTTGTATATTAGCTATTTCAGTATTTTTTATTTCATATCACGCTTCGTTGCCTCATGATTAAAGCTATTTCTGTACTGGGAAACAATTTATACGGCTCGGAACAGAAATTACAGCGTAATGAATAGTGGCATTATTGGATATTTTCATTTAATATGCGCTTTCTTTCTTTGAATATTTTTCTAAACGCCTTGTTCATAAATAATGCAAAGTACTTGATTAAAGTAAAAAATACATCTTTTTAAATCCAATATTTTTAACAGAAATAAAATAAAGTGTTTTTGAATATCATAAATTATACATTTAAAAAAATGTTTAAAAAATTTGGTTATCAAAAAATGAGTCAGAAAATATAATGCTACATTCATCATTTTGTAAAATATTATTTTCAATTTTAAAGTCAACAAGATAATTTACATGCCATAAAATATATCCCAACGTATCTATTTCATATCAACTTGATTCATAGTATTAATTATACTTTCACTAGCAACATACAAAGCAATAATGACCTTTAGGAATGCAATCATACGATAATATCAATGGCATGGTACGAATCTCCAAAATTAGTCTAAAGCTCAAACCTAAACTAAGCTTTTAACATTATTTGCTCGTACACGCATGCCCCAATATATGCTTACCTAATTATTCAGATATGTGCATACGTGTGCATATATGTATGCGAATTAATATGATTAGATACTTACGTTCATGATTTTGTATGCTCATTTATGTCTAATAAGAATGTAATATGAATTATTATTACTTTGTTTTTGTACACCTATTATAAGCTTTACATGCAAATTACTTAAATTATATAATTACTATATTTATTCGCTTAATCTGAAATAGAGAAAAATAATAATTACATAAATATTTAATGTACATATTTACAAGTAGTCAATATCTCATTATCAGCTAATCTATTTTAATTTAAATATACAAACTAGTACAAGAATGAACGTAGAAAACCGAATGTGGGTCGTACGATAGATAATCTCTTAGGACAGACAATGCTCTTTGAGGCACTGATACAATTTATGCGGCGTATCGTAACAGCTATCGTTCTTCCTTTATGAGCCCATAGACACGCGAAAGATTCTTTCTACCCCCTATCAGGCTCTCTCTGTCTCTCTCGTTCTCACCCCCCTCTCTCTATCAATCTATCTCTATCTATCTCTATCTGTCTCTCTACCATCTCTCTCCGTCTCTGTCATTCTCTTTCTCTGTCGCTGCCTATCTATCTATCTATACATAAGCATGTATGGCTATTCTTTCCTTCTCGCTTTCTGATTCTTACTTTCATGTTTTTAATTGTGATACTATCTCTTATTCTTGTAATTCTTAATGCAAAGGAATAGTGAAAATTCTCATATTCAGGTAACTGGCAACTTTTACGAAAGTAAACTTTAGAATATACCTTTAGAGCTCTCATATTTTGTCGTTCGATAACAGTTTTACAAGGCTTGCTTCTTTACACTTGCACTTATATTTTGCGCATACTTTCTTCCCTTCGTTTTACATTTCTATCCATATTATATATACGATACTATGGCATGTTCATGGATATATATATATACACAAACGGACGTTTGAAAACAACTATATTTGAGCTCATATATAAAAATTTGGTAAAGTGAACGCTTTCTATCTAGGTAATAAAATATGGCGGTTTATAAAAAGATAGCTAAAAGCAAGAATAGAAATGAGAAGCAAAATACAGAAATGAAAATTGATGGAGATAGTCGAAGACACTCAAATAACATTAGCATTTTATCTCAGATCTCTAGCTCTTTCAATTGAATAAAATAATAAGAAATTACTATCCCATAAGAACTAGTTATAAGTTTTTTCATGTAGTCAGTGTAAATTAGACAAGTATAAGTAGGCAATAAAAGGATTTTATTTTCATATATATATGTAAGCATTGTTTAATCAGTATACGCGACAATAACAAAATATCAATTTTTGGCAAAAATTCTTATTCTACTTTAATATTTTTAGTTATAAATTACAAAAAAACATAAATCTAAACATTTGAAATTTAAAATGTTATAATACTAGTTTCATAAAATTAAATCATTTATCATAAAATAAGAAATGGATATAAAAAACTAAAAATTCGTAATAACGAATTCGTATTAATAATATATTCAAATAGCCAATTTAATTCGTTCATATATAAATTATTATTTATGAAGAAGAAATAAAAATTATTTTTTATTTAATAAATTAGCTGTTATAATTAATTTAAATATGAAGAATAAACATAAAATAATTAACATATTTTATTTTAATTTTACAACTCGTCATAAATGAAGTCTAAAAATATTAATTTATATTATTATTCTATATTGTTATTATCATTATTATATATTATTGTATTAAATTGAAGCTGCCACTCGATGAATATGTATGAATTTATCTAACACTCTAATTAAAGCACGGAAGAGTAATATAGCTTTATACATATCAAAATGTATACTTCAACATATTGTTCGAAATTTGTTGAAATAAAAGACTTCCTTTTGTAAGCACTCTTTTTCATTTCTAGCAATTTAATTAAATTTTCCGTATCGAATTAATATAATTTGCTTTAATGATTGCTTCCATTCTTCGAACCGATAATAATCATGATACA